AATTAATACAACCACTTTGGAAGATAGTTTCAAGATTCCTCAAAAAACTAATCACAGAACTACTATGATCTAGCCATACCACTCTAGGACATCCACCCAGAGCATTACAGGATATAATAACGACATTTGCACATCCATGTTCACTGCTGCACTATTCACAATAGCCAAGTTATGGAAACTTGGCCAGAGGCCATACAATGGATAAGTAGGGTTAAGAAAATGTATATACAATGTATGTACAAGGGAAATTTACTCATTCATTAGAAATAATAGTAATGATTAAGACATTTGAAGGCAAATGGATGTACCTAGAACAAATCATTTTAAGTGAAGTAAGCCTGGCTCTGAGAGACAAACAGCATGCTTTCTCTTCTATGTGGAAGCTAGACCTAAGATACAACTATGCATGATAACATATACAGGATTCTATACATTTATGCACAAACAAACCCAATAAAGGAGGGGATATTTAAAGGAGGAATCTAAAGGCATTACCCTCCTGAACAACTAAAGTACTGTTTATCAAAATAAATACCAAAGTTGGGAAATGAGGGGGTGAGGCACACAGAAATGGCAGGAGGAAGGATGAACAAACGTAGCATTATGTTCAGTGTATTTTATGTAAAAAATAAACTATGTAACTTGAGGCTAAGCAAGGGAGAAACAATGGAAGGAGTAACAATGACCAAGAAACCTGTACTCATAGTCTAACCTATGAAATTGTAACCCCCTTGTACAACTACTTAATAACAACAATAATTTTAAGTATGTGTGTGTATACACACATACAAGAAAGTTACACAAAATGTAGTCAAGGTGTGGAATACATCAACTATCTCATAATTTACAAGATAAATAGATGAAAGAGTCGATGGACAGCTGTACTGGACATTGATGAAAACAAACTAAGCAACTCAAAGGCAGCGATGGGAGGGAGGGAATGAGAGGGATAAAGGGAACAGCTAACACTAAGTAAAAGAAATGTACCTAGCCGGGCGCCGGTGGCTCACGCCTGTAATTCTAGCTACTCAAGAGGCTGAGATCTGAGGGTCAGAGTTGGAAGCCAGTATAGCACAAAAGTCCCCATGAGATTCTTATCTACAAAAAAAGAGCTCAGAGACAGCACCAAGACCCTGAGTTCAAGCCCCATGACTGACAAAAGACAAAAAAGCAGCAGCAGTAGGAGGGGCTGGGTATTAGTGGCTTATGTCTGTAATCCTAGTTACTTAAGAGGTTGAGATCTGAAAATTAAGGTCTGAAGCCAGGCAGGACAGGAAAAGTTCTTGAGACTATTACCTCCAATTAACCAGCAAAAACCCAAAAGTGGAGGTGTGGCTCAAGTGGTAGAGCACTAGCCTTGATGAAAAAGCTAAGGGAAATGTATGAAGCCCTGGGGAGGAGGAGGGGGAGAGAGGCCCAGCAAGTACACACACAAAATAACCAGCACAAAAGAATGCTAGAGGATTGGACCAGTGGTAGAATATCTGCCTGGCAAGAGAGGTCCTGAGTTCAAAACGCACTACCACATACACACCAAAAAAGTTGTGATACCAGAAATAAAGATGTTTCTCCATTAAAAAAAAAAAAGAGTAGATGGACAAAGAGTCAAGGGCTAGAATGGTTCTTCCAGCTCAACTTCTCCTGCTTAGTTTTGTTTCCTCCAGACAGGGCGCCGGTGGCTCATGCCTGTAATCCTAGCTACTCAGGAGGCTGAGATCTGAGAACTGCAATTCAACACCAGCCCAAGCAGGAAAGTCCATGAAACTCTTGTCTCCAATAAGCCACTAGAAAACCTGGCTCAAATGGTAGAGTGCTCACCTTGAGCTGAAGAGCTGAAGCACAGCACCCAGGGCCAGAGTTCAAGCCCACAACCAATAACAAAAAAAAAAAAAAAAAAAAGAGCAGGTACTTAGCATGGGCACTTCCAGATTATAGGGCAAGGGCAAAGAGAACTTTATTTATTCTGTAGTGCCAAAAGCCATAGGTAAATCCAGGTCTGCTCAGGTGGATCACTGCCTCCATCCCTCACCAATTTCTCACTTTTACCATCAATAAACATGAGAACTCAATAGACTGAAGCAGGAGGATTTTGAGTTCAAGGACAGTCTGTGCTATATAACAAGATCTTGTGGCAAAAAATACCCCCCCCCAAAAAAACTTTCAAACATATATAGAAATATATGGCTTGTATACATATCACGTATATGTATACATATATGTACATATGTATATGTACATATGTATATGTATGTGTATACATATATATATATACATATATTATATATATATCACGAAAGAGAACTACTGGGTCATAGTGGGGATGTACATTTGTTAGATGTTCCTAAAGTGGTTATACAACTTACACTCCCAGCAGCAATCTGAAAATTCCAGCTACTCCACATCCATACCAACAGGTATGGTTACCTTGCTATTGCTGCCATTTTGAGTGGGTGAAGTGATTCATTACTATGGTTATAATCTATATAATGCTTCTAATTAATAATGTGAAGATTCTCAGATGCTGACCAATCTTTTGGCTATACTCTTTTGTGAGATACCTTTCTCTAATAGATTTTATGCAGAACATTTGTGGAAAAGACCACCCTTATCCTAAACCAGGTGACTGTGGATAAGCATTAATTCTTGATTATTTCTCTAGTCACTTTCTTCTCTGGAGCAGGTGTCTACCAACCCAGTGAGTAGGGCTCACCAGAGTCAAATCTGCTGCAGAATGAATCAGCATTTATTTGGACTAAGTGCTGTCTGGTAATTTGCCCAGTACTGACCCTTACAGTAACAGTTCTTGCCAAACCACTAAAATTTCACAAACAAAACTCCACAAAGTCTACTTCTCAGGAAAGAATTTTGAAGTACTTCAGAAATATAGGTGTTATTTTTTTTTTTTTTTGGGGGGGGGGGGGGGTCCGGTCGTGGGCCTGAACTCTGGGCCTGGGCGCTGTCCCTCAGCTCTTTGGCTCAAGGCTAGCACACTACCACTTGAGCCACAGTGCCACTTCCGGCTTTTTTCTATTTGTTTATGTGGTGCTGAGGAATCGAACCCAGGGCCTCAAGCATGCAAGGCAAGCGCTCTACCACTGCGCCACCTTCCCAGCCCTATAGGTGTTATTATAGTAGTGCTATAATAGAAATGTTCAAGGGCTGGTTGAGAACTGAATACAAATTTCTGTAGTTTCTTTCTCTATCTCAATGGATTCTACAATATGCCCCACTGGGATATAAACAGAAATATGGCAGATCATTTTGGAAAGAAATCACAGCAAAAAAAGAAAATTCCTGCTCTGTCTTTCTGAATAAAATCTTCTGAGAGCTGTCAATATACATAGAGCCCCCACCTATATAATCTCAGCTACCTGAGAGACAAAGATCAGGAGGATCAAGGTTTGAGGCCAGCTCAGGCATGAAGTTAGTGACAACATATTTCACCAACAAATTGAATGTGGCAATCTGTGATAATCATCTGTTATATGGGAGGGTAGAAGCCTTAAGTAGGAAAATTACAGTTTGAGACTGGCCCTGGGCAAAGAGAGACAGAGACAGAGAGACAGAGAAAGACCCTGCCAAAAAACAAAGCATGACAAAAGTGGCAGAGTACCTGCCTGTTATCACGAGGCCTTGTACTCACACCTCAGTTCTGTAATGAGTGTGTATAATTTTTAAGTGACTATACCAAGCTCAAGGACATTTATTCTACCCACACTTAACAAAATTAAAGTCTTGTCTAATACAATAATTTTTGAGCTCCAAGTTTATTAATGGAGATCAAACATGGAAAGAAGTATAAAAGGGAAAAAGTCTAAAAAAAAGTTCATTCAAGTACTCATCAGTACCTTCTTAACTATATGCTGTTAACAAGCTTTTTTTCTCTTTTCTTCTTATTCTTTTTTTTTTTTTTTTTTTGGGGGGGGGGGGAGTGTAAGTCCTGGAGCTTGAAGGAAGGGGTGGCCCTGGGCACTATCTGAGCTTTTGTGCTCAAGGCTAGTGCTGTACCACTTAAGCCACAACTCCACTTAGAGCTCTTTTTTTGGTTGTAGTTAATTGGAGATAAATGTCTCACAGGCTTTCCTGCATGGGCTGGCTTTGAACCATAATCATCAGATCTCAGCCTCTTGACTAGCTAGGATTGGTTACAGGTATGAGCCATCAGCACAGGTTTTTCTTTTTCTTTTTTCAAACTCAAGTGATGTTCTCCAAAGCCAATAAAAATTAAGTCAAGCACAGAATATGTGGAAAGTTCAGGCTGCAGGCATCTCAAGGGCTGGGTGCCACCTCTCCATTTACCCGTATCTGGTCTAGCACTTCTTTCACTTATTGGAAAAAGTAGATTGTACTAAACAGTACAATCTACAGAGAACGTGACAACCTCCTAGAAAAAAGGTAAATTTTACAACATATCAGAGTATACAATGAGATATGCACTCTCCTTTTAATAGTTATTCCTTCTTCCCAAAGGCCTGAGTGGATTGTAGGCAAAAGGTATATGACAAACTGGACGCTTGTGGCTCATGCCTATAATCTTAGCTCCTCAAGAGGCTGAGATCTAAGGGTTGTGGTTTGAACCCAGCTCTGGCAGGAAAAGTCCATGAGATTATGATCTCCAGTTACCCACCAAAGAAGCCAGAAGTGGAGCTGTGCCTCAAGTGGTAGTACTAGTCTTGAGCAAAAAAGCTCAGGGACAGTGCCTAGGCCTGTGCGCGCGCGCACACACACACGTGTATGACAAAGTAGTAATTTCAAAAGGATAATGTAAGATAGAAAAGAAAAAGTTTGTATTTAGATTCCTACACTTAGAGCACAGGCAGAGCACAGGCAGTGCATAAGTATTCATTGATTTGATTTGTAATGATGGAAAGATAGCAAAGTAAAAATATCAGCTCAAATATACCCATGAATCAATATTTATAATCTAATAGAAAGGACAGTCACCTTCTCTGTCCTTCAGAATTCCAAAATATGGTCCAAGTGTTATCTGATGTACTTACTGGCATCATCCATGAACTCAAAGTCCCCTCCTAATTCAGAACTTGAAAAGTGGTACTGATATGGATCAGCCAGAGCACTCAATAAAATCAGCAATACCACCGCATTGATGATCTGCAATAAAAAAAGAAAATGTAAGGAACCCCAGGACATTGCCCACCAAGTAGCATACTGTGTGACCACATGAATTAGTACTGCAGCTGCCCACTGGGGGAGCAGCCAATGGTTCCCAAGGCAGATGTACAGCCAGCCCTCTTAGCCACAGTCAAGGATACAGGCTTAGTGTACAGAAATGGGAAGGATTTCATCTACCACCACTCACCCATCCTAACCCAGTTTAGGCATATGGAACAGTGAGCAAGTGGTGCAACACAGACCCTGACACCCGTGGCTAGAAAAACACACAAGAACTCCCAATGAACAAAGGACAAAAACCCTAGTCCAGTTATCACACTTCACAGGTTCATACCATGGTTGCTTTAGGACTATCTAAGAAAGTTTCAGGAATGAATGCAAAGCTACTTGGTGGCAGAGACAGGATTCTTATCTTTGCAGCAGTATGCATGACTGTAGCACATCAATATATGGCAAAAGTCAGTCACTCTCCAGTGGTTATTCCAACTCTCAATTCTTGTTTCTCCAAAGACCCAAGACACTTCACAACATACTTTAAACAGTTAATATATTCGGGGCGGGGGGGGGGAGGAGGAAACTGTTCAAAACACATGTAAAACTTAAAGGAGGGCCAGATTAGCAACACAGTAATCAGAAAGGACAATGTTACTTGATAAACATGTTTTCTTGGCATTTCATTCCCTTTACGTTTTAACTTTGAAAAAAGTATGGGGAAGATAATGGACAATGAAATTGCATAGAAATGTGTATAACATAGGAATGGGTTTGAAAACACAAATTTGGGATTCATAGACAAAGATTTAAAGGATAGGGAAGTGTTATGGCTTGTACTGAAACACCCCCCCCAAAAGCTCGTTGGGAGCCTTGGGACAGCAAGCGTTCAGGGACGGCACCTTTGGCTCTGAAGGTAACTGGTTGAGAGGTGACATGAATTGATTGATCCACTGAACTCCAAGACCTTTCTACATGGAAACAGAATCCTTAGAGATGTAGTAACTTAACTAGATATAGATGAAGGAATAGGAAGTAAACAAGACCAACACTCCAAACCAGTGCAGAACTGTCATTCTCAAGGCTGTTGGGAGGACTATGAGGTTGATTTTAGACATCTTATACTATAATTCCTGCACAATATTGCTAGCTGCTGTACTTGATGTCTGGCACTCTGCTTCTTAGGCAGTTCCATTGCTCATGTCTGCCCTGTTTTCCCATTTGCCTGCCAGAGTCCTCAAAGCCCTGACATGTATCTCTCTTCTCTACCCAAGTCTAACACCTCACATTAGTCTCAACAGAGTTCTGACTACTGGTTCTGTGTGTCCTCTTTCTCCCCAAAGTGGGTCCTGGTCCCCATGCCTGGCTGTGCCTTATTGCTCTGAAGGCTATCATATATACTCCAAACTTTGAGCCCCTCTGTGCTCATACACAAGCACAGTCCTAGGGCCAACCCCCCCCTCCCCAAGTGCCCCTGCTCTTTTGTGAGGTCACCCAGGCATGAACCCCATGCCTGGCTGTGCCTTATTGCTCTGAAGGCTATCATATATACTCCAAACTTTGAGCCCCTCTGTGCTCATACACAAGCACAGTCCTAGGGCCAACCCCCCCCTCCCCAAGTGCCCCTGCTCTTTTGTGAGGTCACCCAGGCATGAAACACAACGATGAGACAAGTTCTTTCCCCATCACAAATAACTTACCACTGTGCCCTTTAACTGAAGGGAGATATTTTCCTAACAGGAGGGCTGTGTGCCAATGGATATTATTACGTAAGACCTTAACAGCTGGATGGGATGAACTGAATACAGAAGTGATGCGCGAGGCCTAGTTCTGCACAAAGGCATGCAAAAAGGCATAGTTACTAAAAGTGGTCACAAAACCAAGGTCAAATTCAAGTTCAAACACCAAGAACATTGAGTAAGAGGAAATGGAAATCATCCCATCAGCAATTCTGAATAAGAATGAAGTATCACCACAAATGAAAACCAGGAAAGTAGGCAGACTTGCCAGAAGCAGATTACCTAATAGCCACACAATCTCAATGTAGAAGAAGAGAGGCATAATTATGTTCTTCAGTTACTGCTCACTGATATTTTGGTTTGCTTTGGTTTTCATATTCAAACTGTCCCTATGCTCTTATATATTTTTCTCTTGCTCTTGTCAAAGATCACTTCCATACGTAAATAAATTCAACCCCTGTCCAATTACTTAAGTGGTGTTAGGCCTTGTACATTCTCTCTAGGGACTCAAAGTGCTTTTCACTCTTAAATCATGTATCAGACCTCAAAGAAAGAGACTTGCAGATTGAATGTAAACCACAGGAAGTACAACTGTCAATTTTAATTTCTAAGAGCCTCAATAAAAGCATACAAACATTCAAGCCTACAGCAATTAAACATCAGAAATAGCCAGGGGCTGGTGGCTCACACCTGTAATCCTAGCTACTCAGGAGGCTTAGATCTGAGGATCCTAGTACAAAGCCAGCCTGGTGGCTTTCATGAAACTCTTATCTCCAATAAACCACTCAGAAAACCAGAAGTAGAGCTGTGGCTCAAGTGGTAGAGTGCTAGCCTTGAGCTGAGTGCAAGCCCCACAACCGCCAAAACAAAAAACAAAAACAGAAATGCAAACTAGAGTCTAAATATAATCACTGTGGACATCAATATGAAAGATAAAACTTAAAAGGATAAATACTAAAACCAAGTAACAGAACCCACAGAATGCTATGGGGAACATTAAAATAATGTTCATGGTATAATGTTAACTGTAGTTTTAAAAAAAAGTTGTATGATCCAATTTTATTATACTTGTAATGGGACAGTGCAGCTTCTAAAACAATGGGGAAGCAAATGATGGGAAGCAATAAAACAGGAGCTCACCACACCAGTCTACAAATACTACATGGTCAACAAGATTGACAAGAGATAGAAAACTAAGGGGAAAAAAAAAGAAAACTAAGGAAAAAAAGAACTAGCTGCTAAGCAAGTTATTTATCTAACAATGGCTTTAAAATAGCTTAACCTCTTTAGTTCCTTTGTCTATTTAGTGATTGGTTTATTAGCTTTGGGAGGAGCTAGTTTCTTGAGCTTCTGTATTATTTTGTATATTAGGCCTTTTTCTGATGTACTGCTGGTAAAGATCTTCTCCCAGTCTGTTGACTTTCTAGTTTAGAGACTATGTCCTTTACTATGCAGAAACTTTTTAGTTTGATGTAACCCCAATTTGTCAAGTCTTTCTCCTATCTGCTGTGCCCCTGGAACTCTTAAAAAGTTTCTGCCGGGCTGGGAAGGTGGCTCAGTGGTAGAGCGCTTGCCTTGCAAGCCTGAGGCCCTGGGTTCGATTCCTCAGAACCACATAAGCAAAAAGAAAAAAAGCCGAAGTGGCGCTGTGACTCAAGTGGTAGAGTGCTAGCCTTGAGCTGAAGAGCTAAGGGACAGCGCCCAGGCCTAGAGTTCAGGCCCCACGACCGGACCCAAAAAAAAAATTAAAAAAAAAAAAGTTTCTGCCAATGCAGGAGGGATCACAATACCAAATTTCAAGCTCTACTATCATAACAAAAACAGCTTGGTACTGGTACAAAAAGAAACCTGAAGACCAATGGAACAGACTAGAGGACCCAGAAATAAAGCCGCATATGTACCGTCAGTTGATATTTGACAAAGGAGCCAAAGACATACAGTGGAAGAATCATAAACTCTTCAACTACTGGTACTGGGAAAACTGGGTGGTCACATGCAGAAAAATGAAAGTGGACGCTAGCCTATCACCATGCCCTAACATCAACTCAAAATGGATTAAAGACCTCAACATCAAACCTGATACTCTGAAACTACCGCAGGACAAAGTAGGAGAGACGCTTGAACTTACAGGCACAGGCAAGAACTTCCTGAACAGAGAGTCCCAGGGTCACAACAAATTGGAGAGAGACTCAACAAATGGGACTACCTTAACATAAAAAGTTTCTACACAGGGGCTGGGAAGGTGGCTCAGTGGTAGAGTGCTTGCCTTGCATGCCTGAGGTCCTGGGTTCGATTCCTCAGCACCACATAAGCAAAAAGAAAAAAGCCAGAAGTGGTGCTGTGATCAAGTGGTAGAGTGCTAGCCTTGAGCTGAAGAGCTGAGGGACAGCGCCCAGGCCCAGAGTTCAGGCCCCACAATCGGACCCAAAAAAAAAAAAAGAAACACAGCATAGACTTACATTGCCAGAATCTTCAAACTGGATTAAGTGGATCCCTAGTAACTAAGACACCTGCAGTTAGCTTTTAAAATCCTTAGTGAAAGGTAGTATCACCCAATGCTTCAAATTGTTTCAATTTTCAACTTCAATGTCCAAAACACATAATACAAGAAGTTAAGACTCAAAGACTAAGAACAGACAACAGACAACAGCGGTTGTAGATACTCAAATGAACCTTCCAAAGTAATTATGCATATGATGCATTCTCCAGGAAGAAAAAAGACTCCAGGACTGGCAAAACAAAAAACAAACAAACAATTTAAAAAAAAAAAAAAAACAGAATTCTGCTGGAACCTGGGTTTCACAAAGACATTGACAAAGAGTCCATAAATATTAAAAGAAACACTGTAGTTCATCACCCATGTAAATGGGCTGCATAAGCCAGTATAATGTAGAAGAAATGTTTAACACTCATTCACAAAACTTATCTACAAAGCAACACATATGTGGCAGGAATTATGCGAAGTATTACACGTATATTATGGCAGCCTATTGGCCAGTAGGGAAGAGAGGCAAACAGGAGGTTCTTTGCATAGTGAAAACCATTTGTTATGCTAGCAGCTAAGGGGAGAAGAAAAGAGGGGGAGAGTTCAGACTTCAAGGAAAGGTGAAGTTATCACCAGTAAGTAACGGAATTTTGGAACCCCTGAGAGACAAAAATTTTAGAACAAACAATTTTAGGGCATCAAACTTTATAAGAACTGCTAAAAAAAAATCCAATCCACACAGAAAAACAAGTCATTCTTGGTGG